ATGAACTTAAATCATAATTACATTATAAGTAATCATGATTACATTATAAGATTCCGAGACATAGGTATAAGTTGTAGCTACCAATGGCCTTATTACATCGTGCACTGCAACTTTCAAAGAACTCAGGCATCTACTGTAGCTCTGAAGAGGTGACAAAATTGCAAAAAGGTGTTTTATAAAGCATATTCTTCTGTGCCTTCTGATGCGATAGTCCGGCACTATACACATACAGTGTAGCTCATGCTGATAGCTCATGCAATAACCCGAGTTTCGAACATCTAGGATATACCTGAACTTGGTGACCTAAACTTCTGAGACCGGGGTTCCACAATGTCACACACGATGAGAAATTAATGCATGATAAGCTATGCCAAGTTTCGCGGCGCTTATACGGGCAAACAAAAACTTGCAAGTTTGACAGTAAAAAAAACGCCCCACTTCCCCAAGCGAGGATTCATGAAGCTAACACTATGAATGTGACTGAAGCTGCTTTCCTGTACCTCATTCTGTTAGCCTTTGCATTATTCCGGTCTTTCCCTACCCGTGTGTGTCGGCGCGGGTTCGGCCCAATGTGATTCGACTGTGCCTGACATCTGGTCCTTTCCGCCCGGCCTGACCGGCGCGGCGGACCCGTGCCACTCCTCCCCGAACTCGCGGGGCGCGGATGGGGAGGGGCGGCCCGGCAGTCGAACATGGATGGACAGAGGAAATGTGATACTTTCCTATGACAACAAATCGGCGTTCAGCGCTAGGGCCATCTACTGGTCTAGAATCGTATCTCTATGTCGGCAAGATCCTCGCCAGGTGGTGTAAAGGTCGCGTGAAACGCACCCTTATGATTGTGTGGGATGAATGTGTGATTTGAATTGTGTTCTGTTTGATGTGATTGATGAGTGTATCTTAACTTGTTTTTTCTTTTAACCGTGACGCAACACTCGGAATAGCCATTACTGTGGAGAGTGTTTTAACTGTCAAATACAAATACAGATACAAATACAAACGACTCCAGTCATCCGGATCAGTAGCGGCTGCATTGATCCGGATACGAATCCCTTTGCCCATGGAAACGTAGTCTATGAGCGGCCAGCCGGCCGGCCGGCCATGCGCACGCTTTTGCGAGGCTTATATGTCAGCAACCACTTGACTGATTTACACGCGGTAATTTTTGTAGGGTAGCTTCATTCCTTCTACCAAGTATTGGACTATTCCCGATGCATGTCGGTGACCCTTATGCACGTGCCACGTGCAAAACGAAGAGGTGTCACTTTTGAAATAGTTGCAATATCTCGGTAACTACTTGGCCGATTGCGCTAAAAGTTTGCATGTAGGTAGGCACCCACTAGGCAATGCATATCCATGTGCCAGAGTTGGGGTGCTGCTGCACGTGCGCACGTGCAGGGGTCGTTTCCAGATCTCGAGAACGGCTGGGCCGATTGTGCTCAAATTTGGTACATCGCTAGAGACCGGTTAGTAGGGAGCCGTGCACAAGTCAGTTGGAGGTACCGCCTCGCAATTTCGCACGTGCAAGGCCCACCCTCTCGCTCGCTCCGTTAGTCGCCCAAAAGGCGTTATACTGGTTTCAAAGTCTGCAGTTTTCCAAGGCTATAGAACTCCAGGTAAGGACACCAGCCGTTTGACCTTGAACGCCGCCGGCCGGCCGATGACGTCATTGGAGGCAAGCCGGCTCGGCGGACACACAGGGCGAATGCATAACGGAGGGGCGTTGGAACGTTGCGGGAGCCAGGGAGATATTTTTAAGTGGTTGCATACCACCATTGTTTGTTGATTGATCTACAGACTGCATCCTTTTAAACCTCGATGCATCCTAGGCCTGGATGGTGCGTACATTCGTGGAACGATCACCCCGTCCGACGTCCGTGGTCGAAGCTGTCGCCTGTCATAGTATTTAAGACACTAAGACGGGTGCAATAACGGCGATCCGATCCCGTTTCTGGCGAATTTAGAGGGGTCGTAAGGACCCAGGCCGAATCTGACCGTCTATTTTTAGGGAAACGGGGTGGGTGAATTGACAACCGATGGCTTAAGAGATGATGAGAAGGGATCCCGTCGTCGATTGTTGTTTGACAGACAACACATGTTGTACTGGGCGTATGACCATCAGAGGTAATGCCTGAACGTAGGCAAGCATAATTGGTCTGTCATATTGTTTAGGAATATAAAATGGTAATGGAGATCATTGAGGATATGATCTCTACATTACGGGAATTCACTAATTACTACGGCCCATAGGGGCACCGCCGGAGCTGTTGTTTTGCCATCGGTCCCAGGCAACTCCAGGGAGCTGCAGTACCCGGCGGCCAAAGCGGCCACCTCGTCGACTCGCAGGTCCTCTGGGATTCCGTGATGCTTTAGTGCTTCACCCACAGAAGCACGTGCATAACAGCACGGGCATGTGGGGCTAGGTGTCTGTCCACCTCTTCATTCAAAGAACAACGTGTACAGCGCCTGGTCCCGCCGAAGCTCGGTATCGACCGTGACTTATTCACAACTGGCGGATCCAGGAAGCGGTATTGGACACTGCGGGGGCTTACCCCATAAAGGTTTCTCGGAATTAATTTAAAAAAACTCGGATTTCGATTCCTTGCGCACTGCTTTGCGGTGTGATTAACCAACATTTCCTCAGAAAAGTTGTGAAGTTTTCATTTATTCTCGAAAATCGATTTCGGGCGCTGCCCTGGTTGTTGGGGAAGACATTTGCCCCAAATGCCTTCCCCTGGATCCGCCAGTGGCCGTTGCCCCACTCCGAGCTTGATTAAAGACGTCTTCAAACCTCACCAGAAACCGATGGTAAGGTGAATTTAAATCCAATAACTCATCTCTGTCTGCCCGCCTAAATATAGGTACTACACATGGTACAGCACCCGGCCCTGTCGGAGCTATGAGCCGATCGTGATATTTTCGGCTTTCCCCATCCCAAGCTCGATTAGAAACGTTCTCCTTCCCCACCCGATTGCTGATGTCAATTCAAATTCAATGCCTCATCTCTGTCTGCCCGACCATAACCCATTCATTGCACACCGTTCAGCGCCCGGCCCCGCCAGAAGTATCCTAGCGCGCTGAGCAGTTGCCTCCAGCCGCGTCATCGCGAGGCCCCGCGCGGCCCATAAATGAATACATTGCGCGAATAGCCGTGTCGCCCCCCTGCAGTTTTCGAATTTTAAGGGGCTAATGCATTTGAACTTCGACGGCGCAGAGATGAAGTCCACAGTAATATTAATATTTTTACGATTTGTTTTCAAATTTATTTGATTACGTTATTCGACATTTAGTAAGAAAATTAACCTCACTCTCATTCTTCCTAAAAGTAAATTCCGGATTCGAAATAAAACAACTTTTTGAGAAGCCTTCGGCATTGCGCCATCATCAGCTCTCTGATGATGGCGCAATGCCGAAAGCTTCTCAAAAAGTTATTTTATTTCAAATCCGGAATTTACTTATAGGAAGAATGAGAGTGAGGTTAATTTTCTTACTATTTATTACAATGTCTCTCAAACTAGCGTTAAAGCATATTCAAAATTCGACATTTTGCGAAATAAAGTGGCCTAAATCCGAAGGAAAAATTTCATTTGGGGTACCTTGGTTTTGTCCCCGGAATCGGTCTCCGCCACAGGGCCATGACCCTTGCCCCCACAACTTCAACCTAGTTCCCGCGTCCCTGCCTGACTGAGTCAGGCTGATACGTGATCCGTGACTGAAGTCATTACCGCTGCGGTGCCAGGTAAATCCCTTACCGTCTGGGTACAACCGTCTCAAAACAGCCCTTTACGTTACATAGCTTTTAACTTAACCTGCGCCCAGCTGGGCTATTCAGCTATACGCGCCCTGCTGGGGGGGGGGGGCGATTCTGCCCCTCCCCCTGTCTAATTTCCAAACCGATGGTCGTAGAAAGACGGGAAAAACGGCATTCGAAAGCTCTCAACAAGGCGGATGTTAAGAATACATTTTTTGCTTAAGTAGGTCAGAAGTCAAGTCAAGGCCAGGTCAAGGGTGCAAAATGCAAGCGTCTACAGTATCGGCCTTGCACCATAGTTGCCAAAGAATGGACTGAGACCATTACCCAAAACGTGTTCTTAGGCTACCAAGACAATATTCGTTGCATACAATATCATGCAAAGGTCAAGCTCAAGGTCAAGTTCAGGCCACCAAAAACGAAATGTAGAAAAGGGCATGTGCGACACATGTTTAAGGGCAAGTGCGACACACTCAATAAGAGAATTTCAGGTCGAGGCCAGGTCAAGGTCAGGTCAAGTGAGGTCAAATTTTGAAGTTGATTGTTAAGACCTAAAGAGGTGTCTATCTGATGCAGGTTTTCACGGCGAATCGAATGGTACTATTTTTGTTTCCGTAAGAGGTAAAGAACTTCCAAAAAAAAATCATTTAAAAAAATTGTATGTCGTGACGTCATAAAAGTTTGAACAGCTCCCACATTTGTCAACCAATTCTTCTAAAAATTGCTGTAGGTGCACATAGACCACTTCTCTTACATATATTCCGGCTTTTCAATGCGCTCAAAATTTTGGATTTTATAATAATTTTCCCAAAAAGTCAGTTTGAAAAAAAAAATGGGCTTAAGTCCAAAATTTTCGAAACCCGAGATAGCCATTTGCCATAAACAAAGCAGAATCACGTATAACCTTTTTGTTACGTCTTGATTCCTTTAAAAATGAAGATGTTCGCGGCGTTTGAAGTTTTGCCGTTTTTGAGGCGAAAATGGCGTGACATGACGTCACTTAAACGTCATTCTCTCAAAAGTATTCTGACGGATTGCGCTCCAATTGTCAGAGAACGTGTTAAATTGATGTATGATAAGGTACTGAGAGTTTGACGTCGCTGGCGTAACGCGTTTAGAAGTTATTGGCGAAAACGGGAGGAAGGGGGGGGGGGGCAGATTCTGCCCATCCCAGCGGGGCGCGGGGCTTAGATTTATACAAGCTGGATGTTGTGTACGATTTTCCATTAATGGTTTACGCCGGCCTTACCTTGAGCTCCAGGTTGTCCTTGACTAGCTCCTGCTGTTTGGCGTCCAGCTGGCGCAGTTTGGTCTGGTAGGCCGACACCTCCTGGCGCATCACGCTTGCCGTGTAGCGGCCGAAGCGCTGCCACTCGCGCGCCAGCTTGCGTCCCTTCTGGCGGTCGTCGTCCAGGAAGCAGCAGAGGTCGCGCAGCTCTTGGCTTTCATCCTGCAGACGCCGGTGCACCTCCTGGACGGCGCGCTGCTCGGCCGCCTGCGGCACCGTCAGCGGGCCACCGTCAGCGGGCCACCGTCAGCGGTCAGCGGGCCACCGTCAGCGGGCCACCGTCAGCGGTCAGCGGGCCACCGTCAGCGGGCCACCGTCAGCGGGCCACCGTCAGCGGTCAGCGGGCCACCGTCAGCGGGCCACCGTCAGCCACCGCCGCCACTTGGCCCACAGATGCTATTCATTCTGCCCGGCGATAGAATTCATCGTCCATAATCTTCATCATGTGAAACCCCCATAATATAAATTTCAATTACATTTGACACCCCACCCGAAAATCAGCCTCGATCTCTACATTCTATGAACGCTTTGGAAAGGTCTCGTGGAGAGCTTTCCAGCACCGCCTCCTGGAGCCTGTTAGGACTATTGGTTCTCGAGATAGCAGGGGGTCAGATCACTCAGATCTAACGCCTCCCCAGGCGGCCGTACGACGGAGCCAGTTTTTTTTTTTATAAATTTAGTCCGAACCTTTTGATGGGAAGGATTCACAAGGACAGAGCCACCGCTAAGCGAAGCTTGTTGCGATGACCCTGCCCTCTACCCTCCGATCGCGCAATTCCGATTCTATGGCAGAATTTAGAGTCCAAAGTTTAACGTGCGCACAAAGCCGCGCACGGCCGGTCCCCTCGCTGACTTCACCTGGCTACGGCCTGCCACCAACCGCAGCCATACCTGTCAGGAGGCCCATAAATGTCGAGCGCCCGTCGCGATTCGAACCCGGACTGTCATAACCGGGAACGCGTGCTCTCACCACGCGGAGTCCAACGCTCTAACCAACTGAGCTACGGGACCGGCAAATCTACACACAGTACAGGACAGTGTGTAGATTGGGGGGGAGGGAGAGGGAGAGGGAGAGAGAGAGAGAGAGAGAGAGAGAGAGAGAGAGAGAGAGAGAGAGAGAGAGAGAGAGAGAGAGAGAAAGAAAGAAAGAGAGAGAGAGAGAGAGAGAAAAAAATATTTGCTCATAAACAAATGCACTTTTGCACTTTTGGTATATAATGTCAAATACGTACTAAAACTTGGCCATTTTGAAGATATCTGGCTAAAACTTGCAATAAGGCAACCAAAACAAGTCAGGAAATCTCTAAATTATTTGCACTGCAAAAATATATAACTGTATTGTGTAACTATGAACAAATATTCAGGTCAGTAACTTAATTACTGGGATGTAGATTCAAGTCATCTGCATGAGGTGATATAGGACAAGAACTTGAACCCTGAATCTCATCCATGCCTGAACCATCAAACGTCCTTTCAATTCAAGTCATTCAGTTCAAGTCCAGTCAAGACAGGGTTACGTGTGTTATGATCCAAAAATGGTAACCAAATGACAATGATGGGCTGGGCAGTCAGGGGCGGATCCAGGAAAACTCCAAGGGGAGGGTCATGAATCGAAGTGGTGCCCCTACCTATACCCAAAATTAAAAACTCAACGGATTTCGTCCACTTCATTTTGGTGGTGCCCCCATGTTCAGTTTTTTTTCTTTTTAATTTTTATTTTTAGTCAGTATCTTAACTTTTGCCACAACCACATTTACCAATTGTAAGCAAGTATATATGAATGTGCTATGTGTATATATGTTGTGGACGCTGAGTAGTGAGTACTTACCAGGAACGTTATCAGGTAAGCGAATCGTTGTCAGTCCGACGAACTTGACCCTGGCGTCTAAAGGGTCTGTCCTTGACACTTCAGGCTTGTCAGAGGCACCAAAGTCCTTCCAGGGACACCACAAACCTGTCAGGGGCACCTACGGCCTTGTAGGGGCGCCACAGGCCCGCCAGGAAGCAGGGGCACCACAGGTCTAGCAAGTATACACGACAGGCCTGTCAGGGGCACAACGGGCCTGTTGGGCCCATGAGCACCCCTAGGGACAGGGGCACCACAGTCCTTCCAGGGGCACCGCAGGCCTGTGAGGGGCACCAGCGGCCTAGCAGGGGCACCAGTCAACACAGGCCTTCCAGGGGCACCACAGACCTGCCAGGGGCACCAGAGGCCTGCCAGGAGCACCACCGACCTTGCAGGGGTAACTTGGGCCTGTCATGGGCACCACGGGCCTGTCGAGAGGCACTTCAGGCTTTTCAGGGGCACCATAGTCCTCGGCCGGGCGCAGGGGTAGCAGGGGCACCAGAGGCCTGCCAGGGGCACTACAGGCCTAGCAAGGGCACCACTGGTCTATCAGGGGCACCACGAGCCTGTCATAGCCAGGCATCTCAGGCTTGTCAAGGCCCAGGGGCACCACAGGTCTGTGAGGGGCACCAGCGACCTAGCAGGGGCACCAGTCAACACAGGTCTGCCAGGGGCGCCACAGACCTGCCAGGGGCACCACAGACCTGCCAGGGGCACCAGAGGTCTGCCAGGGGCACCACCGGCCTCGCAGGGGCACCTTGGGCCTGTCAGGGGCACCACGGGCCTGCCGAGGGGCACTTCAGACTTTTCAGGGGCACCAGTCCTCTTAGGGCGCAGGGGTACCAGCGGCCTAGCAAGGGCACCAGAGGCCTGCCAGGGGCACCACAGGCCTAACAAGGGCACCACGGGCCTGTCAGGGGCACCTCAGGGTTGTCAGGGCCCAGGGACACCACAGTCCTTCCAAGGGCACCGCAAGCCTGTCAGGGGCACCAGAGGCCTGCCAGGGGCACCACAGGCCTGCCAGGGGCACCACAGGCCTAGCAAGGCACCACTGGCCTGTCATGGCCGGGCACCTCAGGCTTGTCAGGGCCCAGGGGCACCACAGTCCTTCCAGGGGCATTACAAGCCTGTCAGGGGCACCAGAGGCCTAGCAAGGGCACCACAGGCCTACCATGGACACCACAGGCCTGCCAGGGGCACCACCGGCCTTGCAGGGGCGCCTCAGGCCTGTCAGGGGCACCACGTCCCTGCCGGGGACACTTCAGGCTTGTCAGGGGCGTTACAGTCCTGTCAGGGCCCAGGGGCACCAGGCCCGTGGTGTCCCTGCTAGGCCTGTGGTGCCCCTGGTGGTCCTGTGGTGCCCCTGTCAGGACTGTGATACCCCTGATAGGCCGGTGGTGCCCCTGGCAGGTCTTTGGGCCCCCGGACCTCAAGGGGGGGGCCATGACCCATGTGACCCCCCCCCCCCCTTGGATCCGCCCCTGGCTGGGCTATACCATTAATGTAAACAAAATCCATGATACCTACAGTTCAACTCAAGTAGCGATGGTGACGATAGTGACGCAGCCAATTTTTCATCATAAACAAATGTTTAACACAACAAATCTTGATAAATAATTACTTACGAGGCACACTGATAGATAGCAGACACCACTGCAATGATATCGCGATGAAAGCTAAGTAAAATGTCCCTAATTTTACGGAATCATTGACACGTGTCACATGGCATCTCAATCTGTTCCACAATGGCATCCTTGTAGGCGGCGGCCATTTGCATTTAGGCACGAAACGCACGGAACTGCATAAAGCACAGTTTGTTTTTTTTTTTGCTTAAGAACACTTAAGTTATAAATATGATGTTCATATTTTGGCATCTTTAAATTAATTCAAGAAACATTGTAGGCTGTTATTGATAAAAAATGAAGAACCAGAAAAACAAAGTTGCTCAATTATTTTTAATTAGTTATTGAGCTACATCAGGTTTTGGCGCAGCTGCGACATTAAAAAGTTCTTAGTTGTGTTCAGTTTTTAAACTGCTATTTGCGAATCAAGCCAAGACCCAATTATATTTTAGGAATGCTTTTGATTACATTGCTAGCGATTCCTATCTGCTGAGGAGAGCAGGAAAGAGAACACTAATTAAAGAAAATAAATTATCGATGAAAGAAAGCGCGGTTTTAAGTCTCATGATTACATATATAAATGCAATGAAAACCCTAAGCCTCATGCTAATAATTGTATTCAAAATAGGGCCAAGAAAATGAGACAACTGTTTCGTGCATAGCACATCGTCAGGTCAATAGCATACAATTATGAGCATGAGGCTTAGGGTTTTCATTGCATTTATATATAAAATAAATTATCCATAGGATCTTTTTGAAGTTGAGCGAAGTTGAGAATTTGTGGGGTGATGATAAAGTGATAAATGCTGCCTTCAATATTAGATGATAATGATGAAGCTAGTGCTATAAAAACAGGGTTTTGACTTTTGGATAATGTAACTGCATTGCAGTGAAATGGAGAGCAAGACAAGGTCAAGATCAATCACAGACTCATCAAAACAAAGTCAAATTTGTTACTAATGAATGCTTGGGAAATTTTGAGTAAGGTAGTAAAAGTATGTTTTCCAGTATACAGTGAGTTAAACATTGATGCATGTTTATGTCTTGCACATTAGTTTTTTTGTAAGATAATTATCCTCATGGTATTGGAATTTGCTAGCACTGATAAGTTGCCATTTAACATTGGTAGACTGATGTGTTTGATGTTACAGTTAACGTGTTTGCCTATTTCTTATGACATCATGCATTTGGGAGAAATGTGTCATGATTGTCTTTTTTCGTCATCCAATGTCATTTAGCAAATCAAATTTGAGTTCAGAAGGTTTACAAAAAATGTTTTCAAATTATTTATGACAGTAGTTGATTTTCATAATACCGACAAAATACCAAATGCTTTTGGTATAAAATACCGAATACCGAATCGGTATTGGTTCGGTATCGGTACACCGAAATTTTGGTAACCGATTGACACCACTAGTACACTACCACCGACAGTCCAAGTTTCTGCTAAGTAAAGAAATTAAAGACTACTAATTAAAGAAAATAAATTATCGATGAAAGAAAGCGCGGTTTTAAGTCTCATGATTATATATATAAATGCAATGAAAACCCTAAGCCTCATGCTAATAATTGTATTCAAAATAGGGCCAAGAAAATGAGACAACTGTTTCGTGCATAGCTCATCGTCAGGTCAATAGCATACAATTATTAGCATGAGGCTTAGGGTTTTCATTGCATTTATATATAAAATAAATTATCCATAGGATCTTTTTGAAGTTGAGCGAAGTTGAGAATTTGTGGGGTGATGATAAAGTGATAAATGCTGCCTTCAATATTAGATGATAATGATGAAGCTAGTGCTATAAAAACAGGGTTTTGACTTTTGGATAATGTAACTGCATTACAGTGAAATGGAGAGCAAGACAAGGTCAAGATCAATCACAGACTCATCAAAACAAAGTCAAATTTGTTACTAATGAATGCTTGGGAAATTTTGAGTAAGGTAGTTAAAGTATGTTTTCCAGTATACAGTGAGTTAAACATTGATGCATGTTTATGTCTTGCACATTAGTTTTTTTTTTGTAAGATAATTATCCTCATGGTATTGGAATTTGCTAGCACTGATAAGTTGCCATTTAACATTGGTAGACTGATGTGTTTGATGTTACAGTTAACGTGTTTGCCCATTTCTTATGACATCATGCATTTGGGAGAAATGTGTCATGATTGTCTTTTTTCGTCATCCAATGTCATTTAGCAAATCAAATTTGAGTTCAGAAGGTTTACAAAAAATGTTTTCAAATTATTTATGACAGTAGTTGATTTTCATAATACCGACAAAATACCAAATGCTTTTGGTATAAAATACCGAATACCGAATCGCTATTGGTTCGGTATCGGTACACCGAAATTTTGGTAACCGATTGACACCACTAGTACACTACCACCGACAGTCCAAGTTTCTGCTAAGTCGGTCCAGAAACGGCTAAGATATTGCAAAAACAAATTACTTTTATTTATTAGTGAATCCCCTTGGCGAGCGGTGCCCTGCACCGGTCTTCATTGCCAAAGGTCAATGACCTCCCGGCTCTGATTTCGCTCAGTTTTGCAAGCGAAGAAACTGAGCCTAAAGCAAGTGCCTTCTGCTCGGCGGCGGCTCCGGCTCCAATACTTAGTAAAGCGTATTTGGAAATTCCGACCTCGACGAGCATCTGTGGTAGAAAACCACCACTTTGGTAGGGGAAACTACTGCTGTCTGCTACCATTTGCACTGCATGTGTCGCTACAGCTGCGACATCTATGCATAATGCATATACTGATACATATAAACCGCGACATCTGTGTGCGCTGATTCTAGAACTAGCGATTAGCTAGGGCACCAGGGTGGATCCAGACTTTCAGTTTGAGCCGGGTGGGGGGACTCATGGCCGGCCCGATCCCCGGCAGTCAAAGTTGCTGATCGGGGGGGGGGGGGATGAAGGTCCAATACCTATGATGCCACAAAAGACATGCCTATTGCCTATAGGTATTTAAGAATGTATTGGTATCAGCACTCAGCAGTGTGCCTCCTGAGATGTAAGTGATTTTTATCGATTCATCAAGTTGTTTTTCGCAGATATCTTAAAAACGGCAGCGCTCCGCGTCGGTGTTTTTTTAAACTTATTTACTAACTTTCAGCTTTAATTTTACCAATACCAATACGTACCAATACATACGTATATATACCTATAGGCAATAGGCGTGGCATCATATTGGACCTCCGGCTCCCAGTAAAATGGTCCGGCGGCGGCTCCAGCTCCAATACTTAGTACATATTAAAGGGACTATCCCACCTTTAACATGGGGTTTGAGTTGAGATAGCCAAGTTTGCGGCGAGGTTCAGAAACCACTATCTATCTAGGTTGCAACCCCCGCGGCCTCTTGGTGTTGAAGAAATTCGTTCCCTTCATTTGAAAATGGGCCTTGTGCAAGGCCCTATCTTCAACATGGAGCGACCGTTAGTGTGACGTCACCTCGTTTAGTCATTCTGATTTAAATGGGGTTGTTCGTTGAAAAATCGCTTAAAACTTGGTCTGAACTTTGTTGTGGTGCCTACAGAGTAAAAAGAATCAGCTTTATGACAGTAATGTGGCCTGGGGAAGGAGGTAATTTTGGGCTGTGACGTCACATATTTGAAAGTTTGTGTTTGGAATAAGGGAAGCCTAAGATATTTAATGAAAAATAAATGCCAGAACCGTGTTCCTGGTCATCCAATCTATAAAGTCGGGCACAATTTAACTGGTTTTAACAACATTTTAGAAGGTGGGATAGTCCCTTTAAATACGGGAGGCAGAAAAAAAGAAGATGGAATGGTGCACGTTGCTTCTGCATTTGCATAACAAGGTTATTTTCATATTTTGAATACCGCATGTTTTACTGCCTGGAACTGCAAGTTCAGGTCAGTTCGGTTTGACAAACCGAACTAGGTCAATAATTTTTTTCCTCTTCAAAAAAAAAAAGGAGCCGGAGTCGTACCCTTTTTTGACAGCTCTGGCTCAGGCTCCGGGCTATATTGTTTCACGGCTTCGGCTCCGGCTCCGGGCAAAATATGCCGGCTCCGGCTCCAGCTCCGGCTCCGGCTCCAGCTCCGGCTCCGGCTCCGCACCCCGGCCCTGCCTCTAACTGAAAGTCTGGATCCACATGGGATCCACCCTGGTGCCCTAGCTAATCGCCAACTATGTAGAATCAGCGCACACAGGTGTCGCGGTTTATGATAAATGTGTATGCATATATGCATAGATGTCGCAGCTATAGCGACACATGCAGTGCAAATGGTAGCAGACAGCAGTAGTTTCCTACCAAAGTGGCGGTTTTCTACCACAGATGCTCGTCGAGGTCGGAATTTCCAAATACGCACTGCGTGCACACCACGGTTGTCAAGTTAGATGTATGTAAGTGAATCCTAATCTATAATCTAGGATTTGGAATCGGGCGAGCCCCTACGATTTGGACCAAACTTGGTCACTGGATAGTACGTAACGTCCTGATTACGATGCACCCAAAATCTAAGCCGGCCCGCCATATTTACGAAGTTACGGATGTTTGAATATCAAGGTCATTCGCGCGAGCCCCTACGATTTCCGTCAAAATTTGTGTACGGACACTTTAGCTACTCCTCATTACGAATATCACAAAATTTAAGCTCGGCCCGCCGTATTTACGAAGTTAGGGAGGTTTGAATTTCATGGTCATTTGGGCGAACCCCTGCGATTTCCGTCAAAATTGGTATACGGATATACTACATCCTCCTCACTACAAATATCATAAAAGTTAAGCTCGGTCCGCCATATTCTTTTAGTTACGGAGTCACAAAGTTACGGAATTTCAAGGTCATTCGGTGAGCCCCTGCGATTTTCGTCAAAATTTGTATGCGGACACATTACATGCTCCTCATTACGAATATCATAAAAATTAAGCTCGGCCCGCACTACTTCAAAAGTAACACTAACAGATGTTGGAATTTCAGTGACTTTAAAACCTCAGGTATTCCCGACCAGGGCTAGGAAAATGCGTTTTATTCACCGAGGTTTTTGTGCGGAGGACCGAGTGCCGGTAGGCACGAGGTCCGTAGCAAAAAACCGGTGATGAAGAATTGGGAGTTTAGGGCGCCCGGACTGCGGTGATCATAGGTAAACACCGGTTCGGCGACACCTGAGCGAACGTCATTTAAGCGAACGACATTTGAGCGAAACATTTTCAGCGATTATCAATTTAAGCGATTGGCTTTTTCAACGATTGTCAAGTCGGCGAATTCAATCACAGCGATTATCAACTTTAGCGAGGACCAGAATCAGCGAAACCAGATTGAGCGAACATATGGTGGTCAATGGGAGACCAGTTGAGCGATGCAGTTACAGCGAATGACCGAACGCGACGAAAGTCAATCATTTGCTACTTTTCGGAAATTATTGCACCTCTTTACGTATCATTTGAATTTTGAAGAAACATATGTACATCGGATGACCAACAAGGGGTGCATGGGAGGGGAAGGAGGCGGGCAAAATTTGAATTGAAAATGTGGGACGTGAGAGATAGGGCGACGGAAGGAATGCCAAGGACCAATAACAAACTAGAGAGATGGCACAGGGGAATCCAGTCTATGTTTCAGGGACCTCACCCAAATATCTGGAAATTCGTACGGCGCTTGGGGCAAGAACAAATTTTACAACATGGGGAACTGATCCAACTTCAAGCGGGGCAATTTCGCGAAAAAAAGCACAAGCAATATTGATCTCTGAACAAACGTTTGGTCACCATTTTTGACAAAGAGCAGGGTGGGTTAGGGGGGGGGGTGAAATTGAACCGTTGGATTTTTTGACAAATGTAGCATTAAAATTGGAGCTCAATGCCTGACCTTTGAACGCGCGACATCCGCCATCCAGTACCGGATAACCATGAGAAATTCCGGAAACATTCGTACGCATACGCTCGCAAAAGAAAAAAATCCACCGTTACAGGACGATGAAATGTTTCGCTGAACTGACAGTCGCTCAAATTGTAGTCGACGAAATATATGTCGCTGAAACATAGCTTTCGCTAAAATTGATAATCGCTATATTTGATAATCGATGAACTTGATAATCGCTGAATTGCCATTCGCTGAAAATGGTTCGCTCAAATGACGTTCGCTCAAATGACACTCGCTAAAGTCGCTCGCACCGGTGACCACCGGGACAAGGGAGTACATTCCTCCATAAATAATGCTCCCCAGATGCAGGTCATTGAACATTCGGAAGAATAAGGGGGCAGTGCTTATTGGAGCCGGGCAGCTGACCTGTGCCTGAAGCTGCCGGTTCAGTTCACGCAGCTGCTGTCCATGCTCCATCATCAGACGCGCGATCTCGGCCTCAGCGTGTCGGTAGCGTGCCAGCAGCTCGCGCGGCGATCCGCTCAGCAGGCGGTCGTCGGAGAGCCGCGGCCCCAGCTGCGTCGGGTAGCCGGGCGGCCGCGGATCGACGCCGGCGCCGGCCGCACTCGCGGCCACCTCGGCGGCGCTCCGTTCGGCAGCGGGCGCTCCGTGACGCTCCGGAGGGCCGAGTCTGTCGGGAGGTCCGATTCTGTCCGGCGGAGCAGGTCGGCCCGCAGGAGGTACCGCCCGCAGCTGCTCGCGGCCAGAGACCGTCCTCTCCGGTGGACAGGTGCGCGGTCGGTCCTCGCGCGGGTCCCTTTTGGGTGCCGCTCTCTCGGGCAGCTCGTACGAGCTGGCCTGGTACCGCTTCGCCTCCCCGGGCGTCACCATGGGGTTGGTTTTTGGGAAGAGCAGCGGCTGCGGCTGCGGCGGCGGCGGCTGGCTGGGGCGCGCCCTGGGCGGCGGCCGGTAGCCGGCGGCCGGCGCCTCGCGGCCCGGCCCCGGCTGGGAGGCCGGCGGCGGCGGCGGAGCGGCCCGCGGGTCGGCCGGCGGGCCGCGCCGGCGCCGCTCCGCGGCCGGAAAGTAGTGCGGACTGGGGCCGTCGGCCGACTGCTGGGCCGGCTCGCCGGCCGGCCGCTGCTGAATGGCCGCCCCGCTGGGGATCCGCCGGTACACGTCCTCTGGGCAGCTCATCGTAGTCCCTCTGGAGAAAACATCTCTGATGAGCATTTGACACGGAACACTGATACACAGTTCAGCTAAATTCAGTTTATTTACAGGCAGTTCAACGTGATGGGTAAACCCTCACCCTGGCAGGACATTTATCATAACACGGCCTAGCAGGGGGGGGGGGGGGGTGATACAACCACCCTCGCGATTGGCCCCTATGGCACCTAGAAACACCAAATATAGCAGGTAGGTGGGCCCCCTGTAATTCTCGCCCCTGTGCAAATTTGGTTGCTCTACACCTTTTTATTCTTTCTGCTACGTTCTGCTTTGCCATTTGTTTTTTTTTCATCAGTTTCCGTAAGTTTAAATCGTTTAATTTTACCGTCTACCTGAGTTATTCTGTTATATGCATTGTTTGGTCTTGTTGTTTCATTGTTTTGTTATGTGAATGTTCTGTTTATCGCTCGTCGCCGCGCCACCGACATCTGCTGAGCGTCATTTCACTTTCTCCAGGTCCCGGGTGCCGGGCTGCTTCGGTTGGGTCGGCGGCGCCTACACCAGACACGTCAACACACTCTAGATCTTCAAGCGGTAGCCACAGCAACCACATCATCGTATCACACGTAAATATAAATTCCATCACATCTCGCTGCCGACTTGACGAGCTATCCTACTTTTCCTCTCTTCACGAGATCGACATACTGGGACTTTCTGAGACAAAGCTTGACGACACAGTACACCCTTCTCTTTACACCCTTGACAACTTTCATGACCCATTAACTAAACATAGGAATAGAAATGGGGGAGGGGTGGCTATGTACGTTCGCAGTAATATTCCGGTTAAACGACTCTTTCATCTCGAACATCACGACTATGAATGGATTTGGTGTCTGATAAAATTAGGTAAATTTAGTGTAATAGTGTGCACAGTATACCTTCCTTCGAATATGACCGCACTACAGCATACTAATTTCTTAGAAAACTTAAATGAATCCATAACCCTAGCTCAAGTCCACTCACCAGACAATATTGTTATTTTGGGAGATTTTTATGCTGGAAACACATATCTCAACCCAGACTTATCTAACCATAACCATTTGAAATTACCCTTCAGGATGAACTTTATTCACTCAACCTCAAGCAGCTCATTAATCAACCTAGGGGAAGCGGGGGGAACACCGCCACTGTGGGAAACACCGCCACCCCATCTGGCGGTGAAAGTATGAACTATAAAGTGTGAAAATCCGTTATTTCCTATTAACCGCACGAAGGTAAGCGTCTTCTGATTTGTGTTCCGGTGTTTCAGTGTAATCGAAGCTCAATGTGGGCATTTAAAGAAAAATGCACATTCTCTTATAAAAATTCGATGAGTTGTGAGCACTTTTGAATGTCTTTAAGTAGAGACTCATTTTGATTTACTTGATTACGTCGAAAAATAACTGATCGGCTTTGTCCAGTAAGATAGGTTTGCTTGAACCGTGTAGTACATTCTTGCCGCTGGCGATTTTTGCTTGTGATCACTTATTGGGGAACACCGCCACCCCGTGGCGGTGTTCCCCCAATTGAGGTTGCGGTGTTTCCTGTTCGTAGCGTGATAAGTGATGAAACTCCAAAGACATGCACTTTATTTATGTTCGTAGATGTTCCTAAGTCGGGAATAAGCAGCTTATTTGATTTTTTTACTTTATATTTTTCATGCATCCCGACCAAGCACTTGCCAGCTGTATAAAACTGGCAAACAGCTGATGAACCTATACCTATTTATGTGTCCATTACCGATTATTTGCGAAAATTACCACTTACCGACAGGATACTCATCGCACGCGATCTCTAAACAATGAAAAGCTTTCGTAGGGATGGGTTGGGTTAACATCAACACCGGTGGCGGGGTTACCCACACAATTTGTAGGTGGCAAATATGCAAGGTATTTTTAAAAGTCGTGATACATGAAAACCTTTTAGGAGCATGCAAAATTAGTACCTAAAACACGTGAGAAAATGTTTAAATATTGTAACCAAGACAATAACTACCAAGAGACTACACACATATTCTCTCATTTTGGCGAAAAGCTTAGGGGGCGGTGTTACCCCCGCTTCCCCTACACGTTATGCAGACACCAGTGTTACCAATTTACGCGATCTTCTTATAGTATCAAACCCAGAAATGGTCCTTGACAGTGGTACACTTCCTCCTTTTTCAAAAATTGATCATTTACCAATATTTGCCTGTCTTAACATAAGTCGCCCCTCCAGCGTAACATATTCCATTGAGTTGTAATGTGACGATTATTTCATAAATATGCAAGATATTACAACAAAAATTACCCGACGTTTCGTTTATTATAACTTTTTCAAGGGTAATGAAAAGACACACATTTATCTACGAGAACATGGGATGTGTAACAGCGCGGGCAATTCTTCGTAGTAACACTTCCTGTCTGCAAACAGGTCACAAAGAAACAATTCACAAATCATAATCTCTTTTCATAAATCATAACAAAAGAGAGTCAAACAGAGATAGCGTAGTATATAAAATTCCTTGCGGTGGATGCCCACGCGTGTACTACGGGGAAACGGGAAGGGGTCTAAAAACGAGGGTTCGCGGGCACAAGGGAGACATGCGCAATCATAGAGTTTCGAACGCCTTTGTTGTTCACGCAGAGGAAGAAGGGCATCTGCCTAACTGGACAGGGGCTACAAGTGTCGACAGGAATTTTTCCAAAGTTCAGCGAAAAGTTGTAGAGGCGGCATTTATCGCTACTGGTCAAACTTTGAATATTTCAAATGGATTTTTTAGGCTTGCTTCTGTGGCCGCATCTTTAGTCAGGAGAGATTATGATTTGTGAATTGTTTCTTTGTGACCTGTTTGCAGACAGGAAGTGTTACTACGAAGAATTGCCCGCGTTGTTACACATCCCATGTTCTCGTAGATAAATGTGTGTCTTTTCATTACCCTTGAAAAAGTTATAATAAACGAAACGTCGGGTAATTTTTGTTGTAATATCTTGCATATTTATGAAATATTCCATTGAACTATGGGACTACAGACATATGGACGCAGACAAACTGACACGACTTTTGATGGACACTGACTGGGACAGACTTTTGGACTGTGACTTGGACGACGCAGCATATTACTTGACTGACGCTCTATTAACTGCAGCCAAAGCAGCCATCCCAAGTCGAAAAATTACAATAAAATCTCACGACAAACCATGGCTTACCATTGAACTTAAGCGAGAAATACGCAAGCGGAATAGGCTTTTCAACATAGCAAAAAGACGTAACACGGACGATGACTGGGAAAGATGGAGACGACAGCGAAACAAGACCACAGAGACAAACCAAAGACTTAAAAATAGACACATCCAAAACCAAATTGACAAACTTCTTGACGATAAAAAGGACCCACGATCATATTACAAAATTTTAAACAGTATTATCGGAAAAAGGACTCATCGTAGCATGCCACCGCTTATAAATCAAGACGGAATACCAATTGACAAAGCGACAATCTTAAACAACCACTTTGCATCCCAGACTCGACTAGACACACACAACTTGCAAATGCCTGAAATCCCTATTCCTGTTCCCCCTATTCCCCCGCTATCAGATGTCCAAGTCACCGAGCCTGAAGTTCTCGAAATTCTAAATTCCTTAGACATCAACAAGGCAACAGGCCCGGACAAAATTCCTAACAAATTATTAACAATGTGTGCACTTTTACTTGCTGAACCTCTGTCCAAACTCTTTAACAAATCACTTCAACTAGGAAGGTTCCCCTCACTTTGGAAAAAAGCCTGTGTCACTCCAATCTTCAAGCAAAAGGGATCTAGCTCAGATCCAACAAACTATCGTCCTATTAGTCTTCTTCCCAATCTCTCTAAAATTCTCGAAAAAAAACGTTTTTTCCAAGATATATTCTCATTTGAATGGAAACAACTTACTTTCAGAAAAACAAAGTGGATATCGTCCGGGCCATAGCACACAAATTCAGCTCTTGTATCTAACTCACCAGCTATACTCTGCTCTGAACAAAAGTCAAAACTTAACAGCTATCTATCTTGACATCTCGAAATATTTTGATAAAATTTGGCATGATGGACTCCTTTTAAAATGCAAAATCGAGTGCAATATTTCCGGTTCTCTGCTAGCCTGGCTTAACTCTTACCTTGCAGATCGCGAACAGGTTGTTCGTGTTGGAAACAGTCTATCATCATCCCAAAAAAATACTATCCGGCTGCCCCCAGGGCTCGGTGCTTGGACCTCTTCTGGCCTTAATTTACCTCAACGATCTATCAAACAAGACCAAAAATGACGCTCTCTTTTACGCTGACGACACTTCACTTTATTCTTCCCATCCCCACGACAGTCAGGATCACAGACGCTCCTTGCAGAACGACCTGGACGCGATTAAACGATATGGGACTGACTGGGCCATCACATTCAACGCTAAAAAGACACTACAACAGACATTTACAAACCGACGAGACAGCTGTCCTCCAGCACTTACATTTGACGGGCAGGACATGCCGACCGTGACAAGTCATAAACATCTCGGACTGACACTCTCGACGGACCTTCACTTTCGCGCACACATCAATAACGTCATTCGGACAATTAACATGCTCCTAGGACCGATATATCCCGTGGCTAAGCTTCTTCCTAGACCAGTCTTGAACAACATTTACACTACCTATATAACACCTCATTTCGACTATTGTGACATTGTTTACGACGGACATTTCACATCAACTGACGCCATCCGACTCCAGACGCTTCAGAACCGTTGTGCCAGACTTGTAACAGGGACGCTTTATCGAACACCAACTACCGCATTACTAACCGAACTAGGATGGGAACGAATTGTGACAAGACGATTAATTCATAAGCTTCTATTCTTTCACAGACTTTACTTCAATCATCCTCCTCTCCCTTCATACATTAAAGACATATTGACAGAAACCAGACAAGACGCCACGGGACTTAGACTTCGCAATGCTCAATCTCTTACTTTCCCTCCTACCAATCTCA